GTGTCGATACATAGTTCTAGTTATACTTTAGTTAAATAAACGCCTTAGGGGATTTGAATTGTGGTTTTGAAAAGTAGAAAGTAAAATGCAATAAAAAGTAAATAACGTAGTTGAATAATTTAAAAATGATTATGAGTGAACATGCTAGAGAAAGTGTGTGATTTGATTCATCAACAACAATAGTATGATTTTGTGCCGATTGATTTCAATAATACTGAGTACCGGTCCTTAAGGGTGTTTACTCCTAAGTCTTTAGTGAGAAAATCTTTAATCATTCAAATTAATCTCTATGGCCATAGTGAATTGCAGATGAAATTAAGCATTATTTTAATCAAGAATGTTCTGGTTTCCATAGGGTATCCTTAGGCCTATGGGATATCTACTATGAAACGCTTATAATTAAGCATTAACAATGGTTTTACCGACCTAAGTGTTAACCACAAATCAAACTCAATATTGCCGAGAGTGAAAACATTAAACATAAAAAGTAAAAAACTCAAATATAATCAAAATAAGGTCATTACAAGGTTCAAATTAGAATTGTATCATAAATCCGAATCAGGGACAACCCCTAGCATTGGGGGGTTTAGCTACTCATAGTCATAAATCTTTTTTATAAAATTTGTAAACATTATAGATCTAGAGATGAAATAAGTCTTCAATCGCGTGAAGCTCATGAAAATCTTAATCCACCTTGAAAATATGAGTTTTCCAGCCTTCTACACTTGTTTCTACCGTCAAAATTCGTCTAAACCTACAAAAATCACAGTCTGGCTTTAAATACTCGAAATTGGGCTTTTTTGTGATTCTGGGGGCCCATACGTGTATGGGGGTGCCATACGCGTATGAGGAAGCTAAAATGTGCATTTAAGGTGTTTCATATGCATATAAGGCGTGTGGGGGGAACACTTACGTGTATGGTGGCAGACAATATACTATGGGGAAAAACATGCGTTTTTCCAGATCTGATACGTGTATGGGAAAGTTGATACGCATATGGGCAGACAATTCTGAACTAGCCTTTGGTGTCTTCATGAAAGTTGTAGCTCTGAATGTTAGCTTTCATTTGCCGCCAGTCCCACGTCATTCCATGTTACGATGCTATAGATATGATAAAAATACCACACACCTATCATGATGTAAAACGTGCTGAAAAATATACTTTGTGAAACTTTATGAAATTTGGCGCGTTCGTTTTCCAACAATTTCTTTGACTTTCCTAACCAACAAAACACGTTAACCTTCTCAAAAAGATTAAAAATATCAGGAATAATTAAAAATAGACAAATACTAAAACTAAAGAATGTGATATGTAAGCCACTCAATCTTTATAGAAAAAGCAAATAACTCACATACTTTCACCTGTTAAAATGATAATAACTATAGTAAAAATAATGACTGATCAATTGCACGTCTAGTATAAGAACCAGAGAACTCATATTGCTGTAGCACTCCAGACCACAATTTCCTTTTTTCAGCAGAAAGGTTATCACGTTACCTTTCTAACACAACTGACTGCACCTCAAACAGACTTACAAAACTCAAATTATACATGAAACAAGATGTCAAATACTCTTTTGTGTTTTCTGTAATTTTTTCGACTTATTTAGATTTATTGTGACTTTCTCTCTAACCTAGAATCTGCCTTTTTTTCCCCTCCTTTTTTCTTAAATTGGTATGTGTTTCTCAAAAGCCCCCATATTCTCATAGAAAACAAATCCCTAATTTTATTTATTTATTTTATTTTCATTAATTTTTTAATTTTTAATTATTCTATCCACCTCTCTTTATTTTATAAATTCACATTATTAACTCCATAATTTCTAATTATTTAAAATCCTTCAATTTTTATTATTCTATTATTTTTATATAAATAAATTCTTAATTTATATTATTATTATTTCAAAACAAAACACATAATTTAGAAAATATTTTAAAAATTAAATAAAATTGGTTAGGGTCAGACATGGTGGAAAAGCAGGTTTCCATGATAACACATTTGCACCAGTTCACATATTTGGCGTAAAAGAATATCATGAACCCTTGCTTTGCTTCTTGAAAATTTAGGAAATGGTGGTTAGCTAATTCTAAAAGTAGGTTAGATTTTGATTGGAGAGATTGCCAATCCAACTTAATTAGTCTTTGTTTTTCCAATTCTTAAGTTCTTCCCATACTGCTCTCTTGTAAGGGTTGGACATCCATATGCCTCTTTTATATCATCATTGCTTATCCAAAACAAAAGTCAATCTAAAAAATGGTGCCAAGAGAAATTAAAACCATGACCTTTGACCGCATAATTCTTAATTATTAGACCATTCAACTCACTTGTGTATTTTATTTCAACAAATTTATAATATTACATAAATAAAATATTTACTATTTAATATTTTTTTAATTTTATTAATATTTAATATTTCAACTATTTATTTATCAAATATTTAATATTTCAACTATTAATTAGTTTATTAAATATTTCAACTATTAAAAAATTAATAATTAAAATACTTATATTAATTAGTAAATAATTAGTCTTTAAATATTATTTACTAATTAATTATTTAATATTGAATAAGTTATTTTAAAATATTAAAATATTGAATAAGTTACTAAATAAGTTAGTTTAAACTTATAGTTGAAATATTAAATAGTTTAATTAGTATTTAAAATAGTTTATTATTTTAAGTAGTTTAATTAGTATTTCAAATAGTTGATTTCATTTAATTACTAGTTGAAATATTCAAACTAATTCAACTATTAATATTTCTAATAAACTATTATTAGTTATACTATTTAATAGTTGAAATATTAAATATTTAAAATATTAATAGTTGAAATATTAAATAATTGAAATATTTAATATATTAATTATTTAATAAATTAAATAATTATTGTAATGAAATGAAATAATTAAATAGTTGAAATATTAATAGTTAAAATATTAAATAATTGAAATATTTAATATACTAATTATTTAAATAATTCTTGTAAAAAAATTAAATAATTAAACAATTAAATAGTTGAAATACTAATTAAACTATTTAATATTATGAAATAATTAAACTATTTAAATGATTCTAGAATCATTTATGTAATATATAAATTTGTTGCAATAATACAAATGTGATGGTTGGTATAGTGGTTATATACTACCATGTGAATCCAATGGTACAAGAATTACAAGACTATTTAAATTTTAATTTAATTATATTGATTATTCAATGTATTTAAATAATATTTATTTATAAATAAAAAGCTATAAAAATAATAAAAAATTATTCTAGAATTTTTGTTTTTATTTTCTTATTAGTTTTTTTTACAAATAAGTTAAATTCTCGTTTTAAAAATATCAATATAAAATATATTTTTACTTAAAATAATTGATTAAGACTTTTAGAAATGTTAAATTAAATTTAAAATGATTTTTTTAGTGTATAATATTTCAAATTAAGGCTTTGAATTTTAAATTAATTTTAAAAAAAGAAGATAAAATATGAATATATTATTTTTTTTATATGGCTAATGCTAAGTTATGTTTTGAAAGAACAAGTTAAATATGGTTTTAAAAGTTAGTTATTTAATTTTTGGAAAATTAAAATATTTTACAATTTAATCACTTAATTTATATAAAAACTACTTATTTTAACAAGTATTTTTTAATTCATGAGTCTACAATAATTAAATATTTTGACTTCAAATATCAACTTTCTTATACATCTAAAATCATACAGCTAATTGATGTTTCTAGTCTCATATATATATATATATATATATATATATATATATATATATATATATATATATATATATATATATATATATATATATATATATATATATATATATATATATATATATATATATATATATATATATATATATATATATATATATATATATATATATATATATATATATATATATATATATATATATATATATATATATATATATATATATATATATATATATATATATATATATATATATATATATATATATATATATGAGGAAATTTTAAAATATTATATATAAATATATTTTTAAAAGTTTTTTTTTTTGAGAAATAAGTTCAGCATCCCAATTATATATTTGTTAATTATTTGATAAATTATGTCTTATGCCCATCCTTCTTATTTTATTCTTTTTATTTAATAATGTTTTAATTAAAAATTCATTTTTTTTATTATCTAAAAAGTTATACTATTGAATCATTAATTTCTACTTTAAAATTTATATATCATCAATAAATTTTGTGTTCATAGGTAAAATGGTAATAACTATTATAATAACATCCAACTTAATAATCTATTTTAATTTTGATGTTGAAATAAGTGATATTTATATTTGAAAGAAAAATGATTTAGTAAGATAGTAGTAGTATGTGAAGAAGGCAGGTGGTAGGGGTTAGATAGTATAGGCAACAAATAGTGTTAGCAGTACAGAAACAGTAGAATGATCAGTAGAAATGTGTATACCAATGAATCAAGATTCATTCATTAATTTCATTGGGAAGGAAAACTCTCAGTTAACTCTTACAGACACACACGTTAACTCTGCACCCATCAACCCTCTCTCTGTCTCCACCTGCATTTAACACTCTCTAACACTACTGTTACAATCTACTCTACTGTATTCATCTTCTCTTGTGAAACCACCATGAATCTGATTCCACCTTTTTCAGAACACTATACTGTCCAAGAACCCCAAAAATCCCTATTCTTCTGACTCACTACTACTACTACTACTGTTTCTTTCTTTTTCCTTTTCTTTTCTTTCTAATTTTAATATTCACCTTCATTTCCGGGAGTACTCTCTCTGGACAATTATATGCAGTTTTCTTTTTACCAAACAGTAAAGTCTGGGGACTAAGCAAAACAGGTGTTATTATATCTTTACTTTATTATATTATATAAATTTACTTTCTATAGATAAAGAGATAAAAACTACTTTTTCTTTTAGGGTTCTAACAATTTTTAACATTACTACTTTGTTTTGTAACTATGTTAGGGTTTGGAGGAAACAGTTGCAGTGACGTTTCTTCTATGGATCATCATCATCATCATCATATGATGAACAATATTGAATCTAGTGATAGGAAGTTTCTTCCATTTCCTCTCAACAATAACTCTTCTGGTGTTCAAAATCATCATCATCATCATCATAACTTTACTCACCACCACAACAACAACAATAACAACACTTCTACAAGTGTTGTTGTTAGGGATAAAATCATGGCTCATCCTCTCTTTCCTCGTCTCTTGTCCTCTTACCTCAATTGCTTAAAGGTCATCTTCAACTTCAAATCTTCACTTGTTATATTCACTTAACCTTTTCTTGTATACACAAATATTGGATGAAACTGCTAATATCTGCGATCTGCTGTTGATAACACTGATGCATACAAATATACAACTTGATATTTATATGATCATGCACTCTTTTATAACCTGTGATAAGATGTGAGACTCAATCTACATGGTGTTTGTTTTTTGAGAATTTAATATTATTTATTTATTGTCTTGTTTTGGTTGTTTTTTTTCTTTCTAATGGTGTGTGTAAGATTTTGCAGGTTGGGGCACCACCTGAAGTGGTGGCTAGCTTAGAAGAATCATGTGCAAAATGTGAAATATTGAATGGTTCTTCAGGAAGGGCAGTAACTAGTTCTTGTATAGGTGAAGATCCAGGTTTGGATCAGTTCATGGAAGCATATTGTGAGATGCTTATTAAGTATGAGCAAGAGCTTACAAAACCCTTCAAGGAAGCTATGCTTTTTCTCTCAAGAATTGAGTCTCAGCTTAAGGCTCTTGCTGTTTCAACTGACTTTGGTGATTACTCTAAAATTATATGATCTTCATGAGTACTATTGCCCTTCTAATTAACCTTAACAATCTTTGGTACTAGGTTAGTATTTATTGGTAAAATAATGATAACCACATCTCTAGTGGAACCCCACCCCAAATAAAATAGGAAAAAACAATATTTGAAATATTGTGTATAAGATGCATTAAATGTGTTTGAACTAGGTCAAAAGGTTTGTAAATGGTATAGAATGATCTTTCAAAAGATATGCAATTGTTTATTTAAACTCCCAAGGCTATCTTTGATGTCTTTCAGAACTTGTTACTCCCAATGCTTTTCATACTCACTTATCAATCTAACAAACAATGTTTTGAGTTATAAGATTTGAATTTTCCAATTTCAGTTCATGAGTGATCTTTGTTGTGTTCAATATAGTTTCACACACATCTAGTGTTTTTGTGTGTGTCAATGTCATTTCTTGTAAGGTTTAGTCCTTCTTTTGAAATCCTCAACTTCATTTAGGTTTTAGGAGTATGGTTCACTTTATAATTGTCCTTTAATTAATATCTTTGTAAAAAAAAAAAGGACACTGTCTTGTCATTTGCAGTTTGATTCTCAAGTCTAAAGTAAAAGTTTCTTTTGTGTAGTTATCTACATTGTTAGGTTATATAATTCTGTTCATTAGTTCAACTAGTTAAAAACCCTTGTATCAGCACCAGTCTGTAATATTTATAGTAACGATTTGAGAAATAGATATAGTTAGAATTAGAATGAATGAAAGATATAAATGAACACATTACAAAGTAATGAGGATCCCCTATGTTCATTCTTTAGGTATTGAATTTCATTTATTGTGTTATATAAACATCAATTAGTAATCTTTGGCCTAATAGTAATATTCCATTTTGTGTTGTTACTTTTTGTTAGGTCAAAGTGAACCACCATCGATGAATGAGATTGATATTCATGATAACAACTTTGATACTCAAGGTGAAGATCAAGAATTAAAAGTGCAGCTGTTGCGCAAGTATAGTGGATATCTTGGCAGTCTCAAGAAAGAGTTTTTGAAGAAGAAAAAGAACGGAAAGTTACCAAAGGAAGCACGTCAACAACTACTCGATTGGTGGAACCGGCATTACAAATGGCCCTATCCATCGGTAACTATGTTCTTCCTTTTAGTTTCATAAAGATACATATACCATTCATCTGCATGCTTCTAAGGGATGTGTATAACTTGTATATAGTTATTGAACTCTGAAATGATCTCGATAATATTTGAATATTGAAACCTTATTCCATCTATCTACATGTAGGAATCTCAAAAACAAGCACTTGCAGAATCGACAGGGCTAGATTTGAAACAGATTAACAACTGGTTCATTAATCAGCGAAAACGACACTGGAAACCTTCTGAGGATATGCAATTTGCTGTGATGGATGCCACAAACTACTACATGGAAAATGTAATGTGCAAACCATTTCCCATGGATGCCATGCCTATGCTTCTTTAGATCTCACATCCAAAACCCTATCTATATATAAGTTATAAATTACCTAGGTTATGAAGGTACAATATATATTATTTATAGTGCATGTTAATTTACTTTAAACTGTTGAAAATGGAGGATGAAATATCCATGCTATCCTTGAACTACATCCTTTAGGGTGTGAGCTTAATTCTACTTATATATTATTTATCCTAACTAGTGTAATATTTGTATTTGTATGTGCTATTCTTTCCTAAATATAATGTTTTCATACCTAAATATTCATGTATTAGAATTGTGATGGAAATAATATAGTCCAACTAATATGGACTTTTAAAATAAAAATCTAAAAGTAAACCATTGTTAACTATTTTAGTAAACATGAATGTTATATTAAGGAAAAACTACTACAAATAGTAAATTTTATTTTTAGATTTTGTTAATATTAGATGTTTTCTAAATAATACTAGTATTCAATTAATTTCCACCATTCTATTTTTTATATTTTTGTTGTTTATTTAAGTTAATTTTTAATTTATTAAATTAATTATTTCTATAGGTAAGCTTTTTATATTTATATTCAATCAATTATCATCCACCATACCATTTTTTATATCCATCAATGGATTTAAATAACTTGTATAGAAATACTAGGTTTTTAGCCTTGTAAATTTATCTAAAATTGCAGAAGTTGATGGTTTGGTATTGTATATATTTTTACCAATGTAAAATAGACACTTTTCAACGATTTTATAACGAAGTTATTTTTTTCACATGCATCACTCATGTTAAGTAAAGTTGATAAATGCATTGCTAGTCATAAATGGTGTCTGCATTCTTTAGGTTATATATGGACCTAATTTTAGCAACAATAAAACAGGTCTAGTTATAACATGCAGTTTAGGTGTATATTTTGGTGTTTGTGGACCTATAGTTGAACTGAACTCGTGTGTTATTTTTTGGCAACGGTAAAATCTTATGGACCACATGCTTGTACAAGCAAGGTATACATAAATAAATGTCATCAATGAGGGACCATTCTGATACAGCACTTTTATGTTCTTGGAACAAAAGGTTTGTAATCCCTTGTGGATTCTGTTTGATTCGTTGCTCTTGTAGTAAATAAGGTGACTGAGCGTGTGACTATCACATTCTAGTGTTCCTTTGACTGGTTCAACTATATATTTGAGATCTAGAAACTTGCAAATTTGGATAGTTATTTATGTGTGGTTCATGTTCTAAAGGTAGAATTGGGGTTAGATTTTGTGAGCAGTATGAATGCAGTGATCAAGTGGTATTTAGAAGTTACGAATAGTTTAAGTTTCAACTAAGGAATTGTTCTATTTATAAAAATAAGGGTCTTTATGGTCTTTTTAAATTTAACTTAAATTTCGTTTTTAACTCTTCAAAATATTTTTGCCGTTCGTTTCTTTAAAAAAATTTATTTATATTTTTAATTTTTTTAATTAATTTTTGTTAACAGAGGTGACATGGATGAATAATAATTATTTTTTATTTATTGGACGTTAACTAGATAGACATTTAGATGTTATCTCAAAATATATTATTTTTTTTATATTTATTATTTTAAAAGCTAATTAATATATGGAAAATGGAAAGATAAAGTAAGCTAATTTAAGAAACTTCTTTCTTCAAATCGTTTTCAACTCATAACCCTTGATTTCTACTCCTCTCGACGCTCAAAGTGACTATCATTATAAACACTTAATTTTGTTCTGAGCTAGAACCTTCAATGTGTTGAATGCTAAAATCTTAAATTGTGTTGAATGCTAAAATATTAAAAAATTGTGTTGAAAGTTATGCACGTTGGAAGTTGCGGTTTGTGGTAGCGGTGACAAAACAAACACTTTTTGTAAGATTGGTCAAAGTTTTGGGCTCGCCCAATCTAATATATCCGTCCCACCCCATTTTTATGTGTGTTTTTGCCGGTGCAAGTATTAATCGTTAGAACAACATACAAAAAACAGAGATTGAAGGTAGTAACAATGATAGAAAAGAAATTGGAGAAGAAGATGAAATTAAGAGAGAAAGAGAATTATGGTAGATAGTATTATTGGATAAATTAAAATTAACATTAATTGAAATTGGAAATTACAAAATGTATTTATACACTTGAGAGAATAATCCAAAAAAAAAACAAAAACCAACTAAAGTGGCCATGCTGTTAAATTCAGGTATTTGCTGAAATTTGATAAGTGGTAATCGATTAGCAACAAATGTGTAATCGATTACACCTGTTAAATTTCCAAAAATACCAGAATTTAACAGCTTTCAACACACCACCTCACTTTAGTTGCTCCAAGTTCATCATGCTCAAGCTATTCAACAGTCTCTTGAACACCTCATTTGTCACACCCTTTGTTAACAAATCCGCAACTTGGTACTCGCTTCGGCAATAGCTCAACCTAAGCTTTCCATCACTGACCAATTCTCTCAAGTAATGAAACCGCATCTCAATATGCTTGCTCCTTCCGTGTGCAATCGGATTCTTCGCAAGATTTATCGTGGAAACATTATCCACTAACAGTGTGGTAACATCATCATCACCACATCCCAATTCCTTCATAAGATTCACAAGCCACATAGCTTGGCACGCACTCAACGATGCTGCAATGTACTCAGCCTCACAAGAAGAGAGTGCTACAACCGGATCCTTCTTCGAACACCATGAGATTGGCGTATTACCGAACATAAAGATGTAATCCGACGTCGATTTTCGATCATCTTTATCTCCACACCAATTAGAATCGGTGTAGCCAAGTAAAGTACATTAGCGACCCATATCCGATGCGGGAAAAAGAATTCCGCAACCAAGAGTGCCTTTCACACATCTAAGGATTCTCTTGACCGCTGCCAAGTGAGACACCTTAGGTCTCTCCATGAATCTACTCGCAATACCGACACTAAAAGCCAAAATCGGCCGAGTATTGCACAAATACCGTAACAATCCAATCAAACTACGGTAAAGTGTTGGATCAACATCATCTTCATCATCACTTTTTGACAGCTGTACTCTAGCATCACAAGGTGTAATACAAGCATTACAATGCTCCATCTCACACTTTTTCAAGATATCTAGAGCATATCTCCTTTGATGCATAAGCAGCCCCACTTTTGACTTGTGAAACTCTATGCCAAGAAAGTAACTCATGACCCCAAGGTCCGTCATCTCAAACTCACTCATGAGCTCCCCTTTGAACCTTGAAATAATCTTGTCATTGCTACCCGTAATCAAGAGATCATCAACATACAAGCATAGTATAATAACACCATCAATATTATCTGATCTCACATAGACACCATGTTCGGATACACATCGTTTGAAACCGATGTCAACAAGAAAGCCGTCTATACGTTTGTTCCAAGCTCTTGGAGCTTGTTTCAGACCATACAACGCCTTGTGTAGCTTGTAATACCTCCTCTCTTGATTTTTAATTATGAAACCGGGTGGCTGCCCCACATAAACTTCCTCATCAAGAGGACCATTCAAAAACGCAGATTTTACATCCATTTGGTAAATCACCCAATTGTTGCTATGCGCAATCCCAACAACCAAACGAATAATCTCCAATCTAGTCACCGGTGCGAATACCTCCTCGTAATCTATACCTTCACGTTGCAAGAACCCTTTCGCCACTAATCGAGCTTTATGCTTGATTACTTCACCTTTAGAATTTGCTTTAACTTTATAGACCCATCGCACACCTATTGATTTCTTTCCGAGTGGTAAATCGACCAACTCCCAAGTACCATTTTTCTCAATAGATTCCAGCTCCTCTTTCATTGCACATATCCATTTAGGACCTCTTAAGGATTCCTCCTCATTTACCGGTTCAGATTCGGCCATAAGCGCAAAATGAACAAAACCACCATCATTATTCACTTCGTTATCTTGGAACCTCTCGTAGTCTCTGAGTCTATGAGGCAAGGCTCTTTGCCTCACTGGTTTACCATTATTCACTATAACATTTTCCGCTACTGTAGGTACAGGTACATCGGCATCGAAACCCTCCGGATCAGACAACTCGAAGAACTGCTGTTGTTCTGCAGGCTGTAACCGATTAGCAGCAATCGGGTAATCGATTACACCTGTTGTTTCAGCAGTTTTTATTTCTTCAAAAAATACATCCCGGGTTATCACGATTTTCTGATTCTTCTCATCAAATAGCTTGTAACCTCCATTAGAGTGATATCCAACAAATATCAACTTCTCACCTTTATCATCCAACTTCTTTTTAAGTTGATTCGGTACATGACGATATGCAATCGATCCAAAAACCCACAAATGATTCACACTCGGTTTGAAACCATTCCAAACCTCTTCTGGTGTGATCTTCTCTAGCTTCTTAGTAGGGCACCTATTCAATAAGTAGGTGGTTGTAGACACGACCTCACCCAACAATTCCTTAGGCAACTTCTTCCCACAAAGCATACTACACACCATGTTCATTATTGTATGATTTTCCCTCTCGGAAGCTCCGTTTTGTTGAGGCGTATATGGAGGCACCACCTCACACATAATACCCTCAAGATCACAAAACTTCCCAAACTCACTAGAGGTATATTCACCTCCACTATCCGTTTTGAGAATTTTGAGCTTCCGACCGCTTTGACGCTCCACCGTGTATTTGAAACTGTTGAACACTCCAAATACCTCATCCTTCCTTTTGATAAGACATGTCCAAATCTTCCTACTAAAGTCGTCAATAAACGTAACAAAATATTGATTGCCGCCATAAGTCTCTACTTGCACCGGTCCACAAACATCGGAATACACCACCTCAAGTAAGCCTTTGGTTCTTCGACCCGCATCCTTGCTAAACACATTCTTGTGTTGCTTACTCTTCACACATTCCTCACACAATTCTGTTGGAACACTAATATGTGGCAGCCCCGTTACCATTACACTTTGTTGCAATATTTTGAGATCCCTAAAATTTAGGTGACCAAGACGGTAATGCCATAACCACTCATCTCTACTTGCCACGGTAGCTAAACAACGA